GGTGGGGATGCCGTTCCTGACAGCTCCTGCTCCAAGTCATCGTTCTCTTCACTGAAGTCTTACTGTGCTTAGGGATGGATGGCTGCACCTAAACTCATGCAGCCTCACCCCTCCCAGCAGCCCCAGCAGCACCCAGCAGGTAGACCCTCCCGCCAGAGCTGAGCTCTCTCTCAGGACAGCCCCTCCCATTGGCCAACCACACTTGTATGGTCCGGAAAAGGCTCCGGTTCTCAAAACTGCTTAATCAGATGAGATAGAACGAGAAGCCTTGCTCTCCGGACTCAGCTATGCGCCCTTTGGGCTTGGGTCTAAGCCTCAGCCTGGTCACCCGTGGAAGGGGGCTGGAAGGGCTGTCCCGTCTCTTATTGAAGGAGAGCCTACTGTGTGCTGCGTGCTGTCCTCAGTGCTTGGAATGCAGTACAGAGTCAGAGTCCCGTCCTCAAGGAGCTGACACTCTAGACGGCAGAGGGCAGTGATAATTAAAACAAAAGCATGACTCATCATGGTACAGTATGTTAACATGTATTTAGTTCCACGGGGAGGAAAAAGACAAAGCAGAGTGAATGGGAGGGCGGTCAGAAGTGCAGAAGGCAGGGGTTGCCACTGCACCAAGGGGAGGGAAGGAGACATTTGAACAAAGTTGTGAAAGAGGTGAGGGGGTGAGCAAGCCGGTGTCTGGGGAAGGGTGCAAAGGCCCTGCGTCAGGAACTTGAGCCACGACAAGGCCACCTATGGGGCTGGCGGGGAGTGAGAGAGGAACAGGAGATGAAGTCAGGAGATGAGGTTCTCCATAGGATTATTTTTGGAGGGCTGATGGAGGTAACAGGTAAAATGCACTTGGCAGGCAATAATAAGGCAGGCACCCACCATGTGACAGGCACCGCCTGACTGTGCCACGTGTCTGACATCCGTTAGCTCATTTTGTCTGCACAATACCTCTGCACGGGTTGTCCCATACAGGGCTGTCTTACAAACAGGGAAACTGAGCTCTGGGTGGATTACTTGCCCAAGGTCATGAACCTCAGTAATTGGTAGCGGTAGGAGTCAAATGCAGAATTCAAACCCAAGTAGTCTGGTTCCAGAAACGATGCCTTTAACCACTGAGCGGACTGCCTCCCCTGAGCAAACGGTGGCGATGAGTGTGGTGAAGGAGGAGTGTGTGAAGGCAGAGCAGCCCCAGGAGAGGGATTACTCGGAGGAGGAGGAGGAGGAGGAGGAAGCAGGAACTGAGTAAGCAGAACTGTAATGAGAGCAGAAGGCAAGATGCAAAAGAAAAGACAGGCAGAGCAAGCAGGGAACAGAGAGCTGGATGCACAGCTTGGACCAGAAGGGCCTGATCACACGCACAGAGGCAGTGGAAGCGGCAGACAAAAGCAGGGCCCACCCTAAGGGCCAGCAACAGACCCAGGTGAATTCACGGAGCTCTAAAATGCCCTGCATTGAGGTCCTCAAAAAGCAAAGACCCCTGGTAAAGGTGTCCCCTCCTCCTAAAAAACAAAGAGCAAGAAATGTCTTGGATAGCATGAACGGTAAGCCAAATCTTGAGCATGGATCAAGACACTAAAACTTCTACTAATTTAAATTTGAGTTTTTGAAACAAGCACCCTTTCCGTCACGGTAACAGCTAATGTTTATTTTGAGAGCTGATTTATCCCCACTCACGGATGAGGAAACTAAGGCTCAGTGAGGCTGAGTCCCTCTCTAAGCCAGGCGCTTACAGGGACAGGAAGTGTCCCGTGTGACCAGTGACCATCACTGAGCCAACACTGCCCGGTACAGGGCGACCATCACCATGTGCCACACCACCTCCCCGTACTCCAGCCTGTGGCAGCGCCAGGATCTGAAAGGACTACAGACAAGAAGGAACAAATGCCATCTCAGAACTGCACTCTGGGTCTCCCCTCTTTTGGGGAGTCATACTTACAGCTCTGCAGGCTCATTTCTGTTTGTGCCTGGGCAGCAGGGAGGGGAGCTCCTTGGTGTCCATCACGTGGACCAGGGAAGCATGGGCTACTGCAGACTCTGAGTGATTCCACAGGCTCAGAAACCTTGGGGCCAAGCTCAGCTGGTTGTCTGGGCTTCAGGAATAAAAGGCATGGCAAGGGGTTTTGTAAAGAAGCTTAATGCCTCCAAGATAATCATTTCAGCTCCTTCTGAATGTTCCTCACTGTGCCCTATACCTCCCAGGGGTTTAGTCATTCTAGAAAAGCCCAGTGGAGACAGGTCATTTCTGTGGGCACCCAGCAACTTCTGGACCCACTTCCGACAATTTAGGAATTTCCCATATTTCTCCTGCGGCAGAAGCTCAAATCTGCTCTGCCAGCTTCCACTGCAACACAGCACAGGTATGTGCCCAGAGACACCTACCCAGATTTCGACTCAGGAGCTAGTGACCCAAGAAGAAGGGACAGGAAAACCACTTTCTTTGGCTATGTGATAGAAATGAATGATCCCAAAGAAAATTCCAATCCTTTTCAACAACTCTTCCTCTCTTACCCAACTGCATGCTGCAGACTGATACAGGATCATCCCCAGCCGTTGTAAACGCTCCTGTGAAGTAGGCGCAAAGGGAAAAAAGGCAAGGGAACAGCTAATGGGCGCCCAATTAGCCGCAGTTATGCACATGGGAAAGAAGACAAAGGAGTAGCAGGAAAAAGAAACACAATACGCAGACACAATGAGCCCCCAAAGCAATAACTACACTACAATTTCCCACCAGCTGGCTTAGAAATCTCAAAGCATTGAAACTTCTATCTTCTAATTTCCCCAGTGAAACGCCCTTCCAGTTCGGGGAAGCACTTCTCCTTCGCTTCCCAACGTCCTCAAAGCTCCCCTGAAGGGCAGGCCATTGTGGGAGACTCTGAAACGAACACCACCCACCTTCCCTCAGCACGAGCTCCCAGATGCTCTTCGCAGGTCAGCCTCTATTTCTGTTCATAAGATTGTGTCTGGATCACCTGAAAAACACCTCCTCTGGCCAAAGGCCATTTCCTAGCCCCCAAAATGCATGTCATCCAACTGGCAGGTTTTGAGTGTCAAAGATGTCCTAGATGCTATGCAGGGAATACAGCAAAGAATAACATGTCATCCCACTCTTTAGGAAGCTAAAAATCACTTAGAGTTCCAATAGCATTGAATTTCTACTGAATGAAGAACTAGAGAAAGCAAGATGACATGCCTTCAGGAAGAAAAGAAGAAATCAAATGTACAAATGTTGTTTGTTCCAGTGGAGGAAAAAACAAAGACTAAAAAAGATAAGAAGAAAATACCAAGGAAGGAAGGAAGGAGGGAGGGAGGGAGGGAGGGAAGGAAGGGAGGAAGGAAGGAAGGAAGGAAGGAAGGAAGGAAGGAAATAATCCAAAAGAAAAAACTAGGCATACGATGTGGTAAATGGAAAAAAATACGTTCTTCTTGTAGATCTGAAGTTCTCGCTTAGAAGATGGAGTAAGATATTCTTGCCTACCCTTGCCTAATCTGGAATTATAATGTTTCAAACCTTGAACCCCTCCAAGAAACTCAACCCGCAGAAAGACCCACAGTTGTCTTCTACTGGTTTTCAAATAATTGACAAGTATCTCTTGAACTTGGAAGAATACCCCTAAGACTTTAACACACAATCTCTGCCTTCAGTATCTGATGAAAACAGAGGAATCGAAACAGATACTTCACTTTTAGAATAACCTAAGTGACATGTTTTGTGACACGGTTCGAGACACTCACCTCTTTCTGTTCATCAACTGACATCTCAAAGAATTCTCCCAAAAAGGAGAATCCCAAATGATTACCCATGTCAGATGCCTTGCTGAATAAGAAGCTTTCATAATCCATCCATTGTCATCATCAAAATGATGACTTACAGACTTTACTTTCTTTCGGGAAACCATCTCTCCCACTAAACAAGTTCATACCATAAGAGGCTGACCTGACTCAGGGCTCCAGAGGTGAACATGTGACCATAACTACACAATCTGCATATTCATCCCCCTGGTCACACTGTTGAAAACCTTAGCACATGACCCAAGATAGTTCTTGGCATAGAATTTTGCTAGAATGACAAGGAACCTAGAGTTGCTTAAGATAGTAGAATATGAACCTGAGCTTTCCACATTGGAAAACTTGCCTCAGAAAGTAACCAACAAAAGGGAAGCAGGGCCAAGATCTAGAGAGACAGACTATCCGAATAACATTAAGCATCTGGATCCAGCCATGCGTAAGGCCAACTACCCCCAAGCTTTTTCAATAATGTGAAATAAAATAAAGTCCTTTTTCTCCCCAAGTCATCTTGAGTTGCGTGCTCTTCATTAGCATTAAGAATCCAGACAATACGTTCCCTGCATGCTTCTTCTTATTTCCCATCACACACAACCAACTTGGTCATCCACACCACCAGTACCCTGCCCAACGCTGCCTTCTAGCCAGGATGAACACAAATTGTTATTCTGCGGGCTGCATTGGAATGCCTCCATCTCTCAAGCCCTTTAAAAGGGCGGCTAACCTCAGTGCTACTGACCATCAAACACCGAATCTCTCAGGTGCCCTCACACATCAGCGCACTTTTTGGCCACTAGGATTTCACCGGCAGGCAGGTCAACTGCAAATACCAGCTGTACCATCATGCACATTCTCCTAGAGCCAAATAAATGTCAAATTCTGAGTTCTGCTTTCCTCAGCCCCATGGATTGTAGATTCCTGGAAGGTTTTCACCATATCTCAGATCACACGGAGAATGTTAGACGAAACACAGGAGAGCCTCAAATCACAAACCATATTCACTGGGTGAAACGTAACCCGACCACAGAGGAAGATTTCTTTTCTTTTCCCCCAAATGAACTTGGAACGATTATTTATTCAGAACTCCCTGTGTTGGATTTTTAAGTTGTTTTTGATCAACAGCTGGTTATAATTTTGTGGAAGAGTTTCTCAAACAGCATGAATACTGTTGCATCCCGGAGGAACTGCAGCGCTAACCGATCGATCACTCTGACATAACAAGTACTCACTGCGAAAATAATTTTCTCGACCGAACAATGAACTTGAATACGTATTCCAAAGCTTTCAGGGTCCTTAGGATCGGCTCACATTGCTCCCCTCTGCTGGAGGTATCCAAGTAAGTCTTCAGCACCGTCATCAACTTCCTGAATAAGGGATCATATTTTCAAAATACATCATTTTGCCATCCACGGCATGGTAATTAGTTTTCTCAGTAAATTACAAGGCATTCAATCAAAGGTTAAAGGTGGTGGTACAGCCAAGCTCACTCACTCATTTATACCATAAAAATAACTCTGCTTAAAAAATACATGTAATACAGGGAGTGAATAAGTATTTCCTGCCCATAAAAAGCCAGCAAAGGAAAAACTGGGTGGAAAGAAAAATCTTTTGACTAAGAAAACTGGTTATAATGAGGATGTGCGTGGAGATGATGCTGGTGATCATGTCCTTTTCAGCCTTTTCATCCCACAGGAAATGTTCTTGTAATGTTATGGAACTCCTTTGCTTGGAAACTTTCCATGATTCTTTATCACCAGCAGGGCAGATCTGGGACTACTATTTCGCCTGCTTTTCCAGGCCTCTTCATAAACAGGCCCCCACTAATTTTTCCAGCATCATCTCTGAGCTCTAACCCTCAGTTTCCTGTACCCAAGCTGTACTGAGCTACTTCTCATATGCACTTTCTTCTCCCTAGCCTTTCAACCCCAGTGTCCACAATAAGTAGCTGCTCAATAAATGGTAGCTGACTGACTGACTGATTTAATGAGGCAGGAATGAGCAAACACTTCCATATACTTCTGCCACCATAAAATATTCACACCAATCTATGGGTTTGCATATATTGTAAATAACACAAGCACAGACTGGGTTTTTGTCAAAAAAGGGAGAACTCACACAGGCTGGTGACAAAAGGAAACTAACCAAGTTTCTTGTGACACAGGCCTCCTGGCAGGGCAAGTAAGAAATGCAGTTACTTACTTGTAAGCGAGGGTAGCACTGAAATGCTGTTGAATGTAAGCCTCCAGAACGGTGTTGAAATGCTGGAATTTCCGGTCAGCAATGAGTCCTATTATGTAGATCTTGAGGAAGAGGCAAGGAATGAGTGTTTTGGGAGCAGACCCAGGGCGGGAAGCTGTATTTACATGGCCTAACTGAACCCCTATTAAAATTCTTTTGCCCAGGAATTAGCTCACCAATATATCTCTAGTCACCAGCGTATCTTAAGTCCTTTTCACTGAGATAGTCTGTCTCCTAGGAAGTGGTTCATGAAATGTGCAACGGGGC